GCCTGTGGTTCTCTAAACATCCCAATGCACTGATCTCAAAAGAGATTTCAGATTTATAAATAAAAAAAGTGCAGAATAATGTACATTCTATACTTACTTTATGAAATAAGGTGAAATGGGAATATATATGCATTTGCATGTATACATATATTCATATGTATATAATACATACATATATATGCGTATATATATATATATATATATATACACACACACACACACAGACACATATATATATCTATATTTACAGAAATTTCAAGTGGAATGTTTTGAATGTGAATGCATTATCTAACTGTTTAAGTAAATTAATAATGTGCATATTTCAATAATACCTTTATATACAAATGTATATTATATTTGTTACTATGATTATTTTTCATTTCTTCAAAGAATTTCATTTTTGAAGATGCATATTGATCTATCCAATGACATTCCTTTATTTTATTAATTTCTTATTGGGCAATTGTGTTAATGTGGGTCTTTTATATGTAGCAATATATTGAATGAACATCTTTGCACATAATTTTGGCATACACACACACACACACACACACACACACACACACACGGGTACTGTTATCTCTCCTTGATAGGTTCTTGTGGATTCCAAACTGAACTAGTTGTCTTGTAACTGAGAAGGTACTTACGTCACTTGCTGGCCTCAATCCTGGCTGTTCATAGACACTGAAAGAGTTTTTGAAGTTCCTGTACCCTGCCTGTGATAAGGTTCATGCCTCAGTGACTCTCAGGGCTCCCATGAAGACAGAGAGACCCAGAGGCAGAATGGACAGGGTAGCAGGTTTCCAGTCAGACTTGGAATCATGTGAACTCTGGACTCACTCCGTGTTCAACACTGGGCATATTTGGCACAGTGGTTTACTTGTTATCCCTGGGTGTAATTAACTTTAGGATTAATGTGTGATTAACCCTTGGTCTCTGAGGTCTGGTATGACATAATATCTGTACATGCTGTAGTTGAGAGCATTGGAGAGAAGGTGGACTGCCCTGTGGAGTTCCTGATACTATGTGGACAATAGTCAAATAAAACAAAAAGCAAATCAGTAACTAGCCTAACAGAAGATGATGGGAACCATGCAYTCAGTGACATAAGTGTTTATGACTCATGAAAATGTTGACTTCTAGCCTTTTGGATGAATTATATTATCTTGGTGTATTATCTCTGGTTATGTCTTAGAAATCTGAATTTCTTGTGTAACAGCTATATGGGACCTTGATTAGTATATAATGGAGAAAGTCTAGTACTCTTAGTGTAGTCTGTTTGATAGACAAAAAGCCTTCACAAAAATGAAGTTCATGGGGAAAATAATTTCAGAACAGTGAAGTGAACACGTTAAGGGGGGTTTTCTGAGAGTTGTTGTCTGGAAATTTTCTTTTTGTTAAATATTTGAAAACATATGGCATTTCTTCAATGTATATTTCTTTAATTGAGAAGTACATGAAATTCTATGTTTCCATGAATGATAATTGAGACAAGACTGTCTTTGTTGTGAAATTTTACAAAGGTTTACTACATTTTGTCATCACACACCTGTGGGTAGAGCCTGCTGTTCTCCTGTTTATTTCATCCAGCCATGTAACACAGATTCAAGTCACAGACAGCCTATTGGTGGATGGACGGTCAGTATGTAAAAGTCTTCTCAGCATGAAAAATTGTATGGGTGGTTGGCCTCTAGCCCTCTAATAGTAAGAACAGTACAGGAGTCTAGAGAAGAAATACAGCAGATAAGGAGGCCCCTCTCTTCACAATTCCTATGAGGATGGAGATCTTACTGAAAAGTCACAGGTTTGAGCAAACAATAATGTGAGAGCAGAGATCCTAACATCAAGCTGTTTAGGTGAAAATTCTATTGCTTATTAGTTCTGGGAGGGTAGTTATGTCTTGGTGCCTCAATTTCCCCTTCTTTAGACAGATGTAATTGTATGCTTTTCAAGTGCTTGGGAGAAGCTGGGTTTGTGGCTCAGTGGTAGAGCATTTGCTTAGCGTGGTGAGGCTCTGGGTTTGATCTTAAGCACCATGTAAATATAAATTAATTAAATAAAATAAAGGTATCTATAAAAATGATGTGCTTGTGAGAATTAAATGAGGTAACACACAATTAAATCAGTACATAGTGAGCACTCTTAAAATGATTGGTATTATTGCTTCATTTGAATGTCAATTCTTGAATTTGTAATTTTGCCTAAAAATCTAAAACAATTTAATTTGAACATTTTCTTCTAAAGATGGATAACCAAGGCAATATGGGAATCATATGATGATAATGTGCTGCATATTTCAAAAGGCTAAAAAAGGATTTTGCGTGACAAAATGATAATAGAATTTTTTAATGACAAAATGGTAAATGTCTGAGGATAGCTAGATAGATAGATGTTAACCTTGATTTAAACATTATACAGTGTACTCGTGTATCAAGTATCACATGCTTTCATAAGTATGTATAAATTGTCAGCGTCACTTTAATTAAAAAGAGCAAATGGWATAGCTAATTAGGGCCAGACTGAGTAACCAGGGTTCTCACTRGCTGTGATGTGTGACTTCTGGTCAAGGATTCCTCCCACCAGAACTGGGCTTCTCTACACGGGGGCAGTTGTGCTGTGGTGAAAAAGACTGGACTAAGAAGGAGGCATTTCCTACCTCATGCCTCAGAAACACACCTGGRTACCTCAGAATGCTCCCAATGGTGATTGTGAGGACTGCTGGGCCCAGTCAATCTACAGAAGGACCTGGGAAGTCAGAACATAATCTATATGCAGAGAGAGCACGTCAGGCTCACAGCCCACTTCTCAACAATGCAGTTAGTTGTCATTCATGGATACACACTTACAAGGGAAGCAGAAATTCTATTCCATCGATAACAAGGGGACAAATTATGGTGATTTCAAAATAGGTCACAGTTTTATCCAAAGAAGAAGACAATTTATAAATTAGTGACAAAACATTGGCATGGTATATATATGAAAAGAAAACGCAGATACACTCAAATCCTTAAGGAAATACTCTCACTCATTGGAAGATGCCTTTAGTATAGAGGTAACACATGTGCTTGATTTTGCTTAAATGGGTGAAAGAAAGACATGATATTGTACAATTACACATGTGTACATACACAGACTCTGTGTCTAGGTCTCTCTGGCTTTAAATTATGGGCATTACTTCAAAAAATAGTGATCATAAAGGAAAACAAATTTTCCAATCTATAAAGTGTCTACGTAAAAGGACTCATAGAGGGTTCATGGAATGCCTGGTTTGTGGCAGAAGTCATGTCCCAGCTCCATCCCACTCATCCCCTACAGAGAAGTAAGAACAGAGATCTTCCTTGGTGCTTTTGCCTGTGTTTGAGCGTGGTCCCTGCTGTTTCTAACATAGAGTGGTGCACTTGCAAGTGCTGTGTAGGACTTGCCTGTCTGCACCAAGCATTACCAACTCACCTCACCCACACAACTCCAGGACACAGGGAATTCTAACCTCATTTTGTAGGAAGGCACTATGGCATAGAGATAGTAAGACTCTGAGGTCATCCAGATACTACATTCTAGGCCCAGAATTGAAATCCAAGCCCTCTGGGTCCAGTGACTCAAATCCTCTCTTTCGCTGCCCATTGGGATTTAGTGCAGCATTTACAGTGTGCACCAGGAAACATGCAGCTTGTGAGACTTTAACACAAAGTGGAGCACACACAGTGCCAAGTCACATTAGACGTTTTCCTATTTTCAAGTGAATGTCTTCAACCAAATGAAATTGAATCTATGATCTTTAAAAGAGCAGAAATGTGTCTTCATTTGGGCCTTGTCAGTGCCCCAAGGAAAGTCCACGACCCCCATCCCTGGGACAGAATTGGAAATTGGTGTTGGACCCCTGTTAACAACAAAAGCTTGAGGTCATGTCTAGCTGTCATGCTGCTTCTTACTTTGGACTTTCAATTTAATTTCATCAATTTAAAATGCACATGATCCCAAATAAATTGTTGATATTTATTGTATCCATTATGAAAAAAGAAGCAAAGAATCTGGTTTTGGGTGTGTAAAAGGAAAGGTGTTTAGTGGTTTCAGGTTACAAAACCCTAAGTGCTGCTGCCAGCACAACCAAACTTGGGGTGCTGGCACAGGGCAATGGGCGATTAGAAAAATGACACACACACACACACACACACACACACACACACACACATATACATATGAAGATAGCTGGGTTCAGGTGGAATATTGCTCTCTGATGGAGAAGCAGTGACTGAAGAGTTATGCCAGCAATCGTTATCTATATATGTCTCATTATCGAGTTAAAGACTATGCAAACCTTGTTTTTGTGCTCAAGAAAGTTGTAGGACTACAAACATCAATGTAGCTTTTCCACAGTTGCACCGTTAGGAGTTTTGTGTAGCACTCAAAGAGGTCCATTGTTTAAAGTTACTATTAAGGGGAGAGGCTTAGATGTAGTAGAGCTGGTAAAACACTGTGGTCATCTTATGTGAATTCCTCTATATCTGGGAGCTMTGTACCTGAGATCAAGGTCAAAGCTGATAAGACTCTTGCACAGAGTCTTTTTGGGTTGGTCATTAACATAGTAACTAGGCAATCTGTGTTCTTGCACAGAAACTTCCCTAGGCAGTAGGCACGGCACAATCATGAAATCATCAGAGACCCCCAATCTCAGTCACTGCTCTCCCATTTTCTCATCACTCTACACACCTAAGGCTAGAAGCTACTGCTGTCCCCATCAAGGCTTTGATGATTTATTTGACTGGAAGGGCTAATAAAGACTGTGGGTACCAGAGGCCACTGACCACCAAGGGCTCCTTGTTAGAAAGTGAAGTACCTGAGTTGGCTCACTGGTTTGAAAAACCTTTATGCAATAATGACAGAATATTACATGTGAAAACTGAAGAAGCCTGAACCCAGCAGCAAGCTGACCAGATCCTCAGCAGATTCTGTTCAAGACAAGAAACTATGAGGATAAGATGACTGTGTTGTGCCAACATCTGTTAGGAGCTCTTCCCATTGCCACCAACAGCTGTTCTTCTAAGCAAACAGAAGGTGATGATGGCCAAGTAGACCACACTCTTGAGCAGCAGGAGGAGGTAGGTCCAGTAGGCAGAGGTGTATGTGAGCTGCAGCCTTAGTGCATCTAAGAGAAGTCAGACAATTAGTTTCACCTGTTCTTTGACAGGAAAGGCCCCCTCATGGGGGAGGGTGCCACAGGTGTTTATTTTTGGTGACCTACACTGAAGTGACACCACCCCCACCAAACCCCAAAGGTCAACATCTATCACTCACACCCAAACCACCCAAAGCAAGGCTCAGCTTGCAAGTCAAGTCCATTAACAACCTCTGCCATATTCACTTAGAAACTTCCTAATATTAAAAATAAGGTTTTGCTTTTAATGTTTGAGTCCAGTGAAAGACAAATGAATGTCTGAAACTACATTTTAGATTCTCTTCACCCTCAATATGTCTCTAAGTAAATAAAATAGATAATATTCACTATCCACTAACAAAATGCCAAATAGTATGCTGAGAATTTTGTATAAAAAGCTTTAGTAATATTTAATTTTGTAAGATTCCATAACAGCAAGAAACAGTTTATTTTCATCCTCATTTTTCAGATGAAGTGAGGACAAAGAAAGAAGGCATTTTCATGTGACAACCTAGATCAATATGCATAAAATTTTATGCTAACTCTAAAAAGGTTACAGACTATGTGATCCTATTCTTGAAATGACAAAGTTATAGGAATGGAGGAGAGATGGGTTTTCAGGAATTAAGAAGGTTAATGGTAGTGGACAGGAGGGAAGCAGGCAGAGATTAAAGGGCAACATGGGAGATACTAGTGGTGATGGAAATGTATCTTGACCATGTCAATGTCTATACTCTGTTGTTATACTGTATTACAGTTTTGTAAAACTTACTATTAGTGAAACTAGATAAAGGGAACATGGGACCTCTTATTAATATTATTATTATTTCTTACAACTGCATATAAATTCATAGCAATATCAAAATAAAAATTTAAATCATAAAAAAAAGAAAGAAGGAATTTGCTTGTCGCATGCATTTTTTAAGTGACTGGCCCAGGTCATGATCACAGCCACATGATGTTAAAGAATACACTCTCATCTACCCTGCGATTCTGCAGTATGGAAGTACAGCCAACATCCCAGAGGTTAAGCTTAAGTATTAGTTAGCTTGTTTATTTCAAGCCTCTGGGCTTTGCATGCAGAGAATGAAATGAGATATATAGGAACTGTACAACCCAAGAAAATTTGGTGGTTTTCCCAGTAGAGTGAGTGAGAGATTTTAAATAAGAGGGCACTAGAAGAAATTGATTATTGAAAATATCCATCGATGTATGGTAGCTGTGGCTCATTCACATATGTTTTATATATATATATATATATATATATATATATATATATATATATATATATATAAAATTTTAGCTGTGATAGTTTGGGATAATTGCCACTGATGTCCTTTGAAGTTTGGTAAGAAATGTGTTATCTCAATTACTATTTTAATACAATGGTAGTAAGTCACAGTGGCTCTTCAACAGATTACAAAGCCAGGACAATTCTTGTGGAAATTTCGATTTTTACAAGTTCCATCTTTGTAGACTCAGAACTGAACAAAACTAGATATTGGTGAAGAAAGGGCCCTCGAAAAATGTGCTTATGACATCATGTTCTCTGCTAGATGACCAGTTACAGCTTCTGCTTTTCTGGAACGGCAACTGAGGTCCAGAGACCCTGGGAAATAAGAAACAGGAGAATGATCACCAGGGTTTTTTGCACATGTGTAGGTAAAAAGAACTAGAAACTGGTGCTTATTCAGAACCTGCTAAAAGAACCTGTTCTARATATTTCACATCTGGATCTATGCCTCTCCAATAGTTCTGAGTTTAGTTTCATTATTGTCCATTGGAAAATGATCAAAGAACTACTTGCAGAATGGAAGTCACTCACCCACATTTATGTAACTGGTCATTCAGAGAATAGAGGTACAGTCAACTCTGTGGTATTCTGAACCCATATTCTTACYCTTACTACCATATGGCCATGGAGTCTCAGAGCCTTGGCTTTGGAATGTCTTGTTTTAGGACTCTCTTTAGAAAAAGAATAGGGAACTGAGTAAGGGTATGAACTCTATATGATGGCTTGAGTTGACACACCTGCTATAGACATGTGTCATGGGCAAAAAACTTCATTAATTTAAGCTCATTGTCAACATCTGTAAAATGAGAGAAAAATAGTTGAGTCACAGCATAGAAGTTTTCTGAGGATTAAGAACAAATGTGCATGTAGAACCCTACCCAAGGCCTTGTGTGTAAAATGACTCTGTGACATTTTTTTAGCACTTGTGTTCTTAACACCTAGCAAAAGACTAGAAATAAATAAACAAATTTAGAAGTAACTTGTATCGTGCTTGCCCCAGTCACTAGAGGGAAAAGTAGACACACAAGTAAATGAAGTCCATTTTTTAAAATGACTCAGAGCATGCCACTGTATCTTCCACTTTACCGCCATCCTATCCAAAACAAGTTATTTGCTATGATAGTACAATATTGCAGAAACATTGGATTAATTTAAAATTACACTGGCTCTATTCTGCAATTTCCAGCCATTCTGATTTTTCTACCTTATATAAGGGGGTTCAAAATAAAGCTGATCATGAGCAGAAAAATCTGTAGTATAAAATTATGCAAACTATACTAAAACCATTTTTATCTCCCAAACAAGCTTCAGAATCAGCTAGAGAGAGAGAGAGAGAGAGAGAGAGAGAGAGAGAGAGAGCTCAAATTTTTTGTGATGCACTTTTAATGTAAAATCCATTGACTAAGATATAGGGGAAATAAACTTAATTAAAGCTAATACCTGGTGAGTGATCATTGATGTGCCAAACTATGTTAAATGCCTTGTGTGCATTATCTCATTTAAATMCCAAATAAGGTTAACCTATTAAGATTATGTTCTTAATTCTGCAAATATTTCAATATAACCAACACAGGTGCATTAAAATAAGTTGAAAATCATTATCTAGGGTTCATATACCCTTTATACATAATTTTTTCAAACATTTTAATAATTAACCATTATATTTCTTAAAAGAATGAGCTTCTAAAATATAATTACTCCAATGTTACCCTAAGTGGTGTACTTATTAATCCCTGAAAGTTTTTGTAGATGTTCTGCAACTGGTACAATAAGACTAAATGAGATAATTAAGCTGAATTGTGGATRGTTCCATATTATGAATTAAAAATTAAGTGTAAATAGTGTAGTAGACAATTTTATTTTAATTATTCTCAGCACATGAGCTATTTCTTTTAACTAGCCCATTTTCATGGGGGGGAGTATTTTAGTGCAATATTTCTTATGTTAGAAGGTAGGAAAAGTCACATCTCTATTTCTCTGAATAAAACTTGAGACAAAAGTTGTATCTATCTACTATGACTCCAAGAAATTATGGATTTATCAAAATGTCAATCTACTTTGTAACATCCAGCTATTGTGGCTTTTCCTTAAGCTAGAGAATTCAAAAGTTAAGATGCTTAGGAGGGAAAAATGCTACAGCATGAGATAAAGATAAATATACATTAAAACCTACCATTTTCAAATCCCAGATCAGCTTCTCTRGGATTAATAGTGGTGACAGAAGAAAAGAGAGCTAGTAAATAATTCCTCTATTATTTAAAAGTGTATGAATGTATGTATACACACACTTACTATTCATATAAATAAATACATATGTGTCTGTCAAGAACAGAGAAAATCATTTAAAATGGGATCCTCMTAATTCCAAATGTAATTAGGTTCACTCTATGCAATTCAGTAGGTATCATTCCTATATTACATTTTTGCATACAAGGCTGTTGATTTTCCTGGCAGATAACTTTTTTCCTTTTTATCACAGTTAGGGTGTATCATATCCACGATTATCTGGTTTTCTGCTGTATTCACAGCTCCTCACCCAGTGTGTGCTCCAAAGTAGGTGATAGTCAAATGCATGTMCAATGGAAAAATAAACGGAAAATTGGCTGCTTTATAGGATCCAGCACACATGGCTGATACAAAGTGCTGAAACCCAAAATAATCCAACAACTCCTAGAATCAACAGTGGAAGGAAAGAGTCTGATTTAGAGAATTTTTTCTATATTATGCATTTCTCCATTATTCTTGATTGGAGCACATGATTTTTTGGAGGTGTGGTGTTTGTGGACATGAGACACCAATATTCATGAAATTGGTACCTATTGATTGATCACTGTTTGGTAGGCACTATGCTAATGACTAACAAACATTACCTTGTTTTATGTCTTCAATCACACTTAAATGAGTTGTATTGTGCAAGTACCCAAACAAAGAATGGGAAATAAAATTTAAAGAACCATTCCAGTGAGTGGCAGGGCCAGAATTCAAAGTAGGTTGAGGGGATTCAATGATGGCATGTGGAAATTATTTTGTAAAAATAATTCATGTAAATGTGAGAAAGTAATTTGTAGAGATAATATAATCTCCTAATGTCTTTATTATGCTTAGAAACTACCAATTTTGTTAAAGGACAGGATTGAACATTTTAGTACAGTTCTTTCTGGGGAGAGAAAACTAGGTCAAGTCACATTTCTAATCCTCTGAACAAAGATTGAGGTTGATATTTTTATTTATATCCAATTAAAAAACAATACTAGACCTTTGGGTATAGTTGGAGGAGAAGGATAGCTGGGTCAAGTGGTGGTTCCATTCCTAGATTTCCAAGGAATCTCCATAATTCGTTCTATATTGGCTGCACCAATTTGCAGTCCCACCAGAAATGTATGAGTGTACCTTTTTCCCCACATCCCCTCCAACACTTATTGTTATTTGTGTTCATAATAGCTGCCATTATCAGTGGAGTGAGATGATATCTTAGAGTAGTTTTGATTTACATTTCTCTGATTGCTAGAGACGATGAGCATTTTTTCATATATTTGTTGATTGATTGCATATTCTCTTCTGAGAAGTATCTGTTCAGGTCCTTGGCCCATTTGTTGATTGGGTTATTTGGTTTTTCGATAAAGGGATACAGCCACATCAATGTTAATAGCAGCACAATTCACAGTAGCTAAACTGTGGAGCCATCCTAGATGCCCTT